TTGATGTGATTGATAACGATCATATTTTTCATTTTAATAAGATAATAATGTAGATCAAACGGGAACTAAATTTTTGACAGATAACTTTACACATTTTATGTAATTTTTCAAAAGGTGAGGAATTTTCAAAGAGGAAAATGAATGGAAGATTAACATGGTCGACTTCAACCAAAATGTAAATAGAAAAAGATGATAATTCAATTGTTGACCTATCAATTGTGTTGTTCATTTGATTCGATACTAACAACAATAGTTGAACTCTTCTGTGTTACTTTTACAAGATGTTCCGTCATTCATGTGACTTCTAGATGTTACACCAAATTTGCAAGTATGAGCTATGATTTTATTTGCAAGCTCGACAATTTATGTTTGATAGTTGAGCAATGCTACACTCACAGCATTGTTTACATCAACTTTGACAGCACACTCACATATAAAGGGGCCCGTCATTATTTTATTCATGTAGGCCCCCCCAACATGTGAGGGGGCTGTGTACAAATGGAAAAATCCTTGATAGTTAATGGTTGACGAGCAGGGTAGGGCCTCCAACTTTAGTATGACCAAACTTAGCAATTACGTTAATTTCGAGAAACTTGCACTTACATCCCCAACTCGTGATTGCAATAGTAAATTTGTATCCAACCATTATGATGAATATTTTGATCCTCAACACCCCTCACCAATGTTGCAGGGACAAACATTTTGCTCCCCAACCCTCTCAACTATGTTGTATGAATAGTCTACGACTCTATGTAACAGTTTCATCTAAATGACAGAGTTAAATCTTGAAAATAAGTACATCCCTTATTAATGAAAAATTGACAGCAACAACAGAGCCATGCGGCTGCCCTCGGCCATTAGAACCTTCACTATCATTGGGTTCGCCGTCAATAACCATATATGCATCATGCATGCAATTAAGCCCGCAACTAATCTCACCATCGTACTAGCCCCGCCTGGCCACAACGTCCACGCCATGGCCACCACCTGTGCCTCTTGTCCATTGCCATAAAGGTTTCCCACCATCTGTTGTTGATGGGCAACCAATCTGGCAACCTATTGTGCCTAAGCGGCAAAGCCTCAAGCTGTTTGGCGAATTTGTATTAGTACACATATTGTCTTCATTATGAAACTTGACACCACGAGCTCTAACATGTCGTCGATCCATCGTCTGGAGCATAAATCGTGCTCTGATACCAAAGATGCAAGCGAAAGCATAAACAATAATGAATATGATATTACAAACGTGAATCGCACACAAATTAACAGTTGAGTGCATAATTGAAGAAGAAACTCCAATGTTTCTATTCTACATATCAAAACGATGTCTACCATATCCTCCTCAATCTGTCATTAGGATCGTAGATATGTCTCCAAGATCGTAGGCATGTCTTCAATACTACTTGATATAGGCAGAAGCATAAACGAGAACAAAAATACGATTATCAAAAAAAAAAAAAAATTTGCGCACGAATTAACCATTTAGTCGGATACTTGAAGAACAATCTGCAAGTTTATATTCAACATTCAAAATCAACAAAGTTACAATAAAATCATAATGTTTAAACAAAATTCCTAACTAGACTTTTAAAACAAGAAAAACCCATACTTGATATAAAAATAATTAAATATTAATTAATTAACAATATATAAAACCCTAACAATAATTAATAGTCCCGTCATTTTGAATTAATATTAAAATAAACACGTCATTTTGAATTAATAGTCCCGTTAGGCTTCTTCTATGGAGTAGATTACTCGGACCATAAATCTTGTCCACATGGGCTGGTTTTGGGCCTTCTGAGTTATTGACATGTGGAAATTATACAAAATTAGAATTTTAAAAATTCAATATCAAAAATCAGATCAAAAGTTTCACTTTTCAAAAATCAGATATTTTATTTTTAAATATTAAATATTAATTATAAATTTTTCGTCCAAAACCCTATTCAAATTCATTTCAATTTTTCTTCTCTCCTCACCGTCAGTCTCTTCTCACTCTCTCTACCTTCTTTTTTATCTCTGTCACTCTCTCTTCTCCACTCCCTATATTCTCTCTTCTCCACTCTCCTCCTTCTCCGGCAGCAGCCCAGCCTCATTCGGCGACGTTACCCACAAACACGAAGCAGCAACGCTTATTCAAGAGATACGTGATGAAGTGCAGCAAGTAGTGCAAACTGTTAAAGAAAGCCTTTGACATGTTCTTCATTAAATAGCCTGGTAAACCTCTCTGGAGATTCTAAAAGTAGAAAGGTAGTGAAGAATAATGCCAGCACGTCCAAAGTCAAGGAGGAGACAGATTTTTCCAGCTCAGCAGGAAGCTGCTTCTGTGTTGGAGTTCAGATTGCGAATCGTCACTTCATTTTTTAATTTCTGAGTTTTTTGCAATTTTTGCTGTGGAGTCCTAATTTATGGCTGATGGTTCGCAATCGCTACTACGGTGGGGGTGATAGTGGGTTGTGCGCTGCTTTGTGATTTGGGGATGGTTTTGGTTGGTAGCGGCGATGGTGGATTTGGTCGTGGTGGTGGTTTTGTTGGATCGACTGTGGATTTGATGGGGTTTGTTGATTTTGGTAGTTGTGGCAGTTGTGATTTGTTAGTGGTTGTGGTTGTGGTTGTGGTGGTGAGTCGTGGTGGTGGTTTTGAAGTTGAATGTGGTAGTTTATTTGAGGTTGTGGTGACGGAGACTGTGAAGTGGTGACGCTGCTTTTCGGTTGGTGCCATGGCGTATTGTGGTTGGGTAGTGTAGATGGTGGCAGTGTTGGTGGTGGTCGGCAATGACAATGATGGTAAGGTTGGGGAGTTTTTTGGGTTGTGGGATGGGAGGAGGGTTCGTGGTGGAGGTTTTGTGGTTTTAGTGGTGGTGGTAGAGGTGTAGTGGTTGTGGGTGGGTAGTGGTGGTCGTGGTGATGTCGGTATTTTTAGTTGATGATTTGTTGCCGGGAGGAAGTGGTGGTGGTTCCGGCGACGGGGGTTCGATTGTCATGCTGATGGTGGCCGTGGTGAGGTGATGGTCACAAGTTTTGGTGTTGATCACATATTATTTGATCGTTTGTGACCATTAAAAAAATAATGTGACCTTAAAATTCGATAATTTATAACTAAAAATATAATCCGTGACCAATCATTTTGTTATCTGTGACCTAAAAATTATATAATCTGTGATCTTGAAAATTTCTGTAACCAACTACTTCGAAAATCTGCGACCTGTGACCTATAAATTTTGATCTGTGATCAACGAATTAATTGTGACCTACAAAATTTTTGAACTGTGACCGTAAAATAATCTGTGACGTATACAAATTATTATTTGTGACTGAAAATATATGTAACTAACTAAATTGTGAATCTGTGACCATATCGTATAAATTAACTAAATTGTTAATTTGTGACCGATAATTTGATAATTTGTGACTGTCTACTTAGTTGTGACTTATAATGTTTGTGATTTNAAAAAGATAAATTGTGATAAAAAAATAATGTGTAACCTAAACAATTATTAATTTGTGATTGATAATTTGACAATTTGTGACTGTCTACTAAGTTGTGACTTATAATATTTGTGATTTGTGACCGATAAATAAGTTGTGACGTTTCAATTTTTTTATTGTGATCGATGAACAAATTGTGACCTATAAAATTTCTGAATTGTGACCTATAAGATTTCAAATTCGTGATCGTAAATTAATTTGTGACTTATTAAATTTTTGATTAGTAACCGATGAACAAATTGTGATATAAATGTTTTGAATTGTGACCGTAAAATAATTTGTGACATGTAAAATTTGTGATTTGTGACTAATTATATAGAATTTGTGATCAAACTATATGTAATTGTGACCTTAATATATTTAATTAATAAACTATATTATTTATTTATTTATNTTTAAACCTTAAAAAATCTGAAATTTTAAATTTTAAATCTTATGTCTTAAATGTGAAATAGGCTATTCTCTCCCCAATTTTATTTGAACCCTAAA